GGAGGGTGGCTGTGCCCAGCTCTCTGGCAGTGTCCGGTCCCCTTCTGCAGGCACCCTTACGCTGCCTGGGAGGGAAGCAGCCCCCAAATAGCTCAGCTCTTTTCCCCTGGCCAGGCATCTCCCTTGAGCCCTGGGGGAGGGTCTCCAGCCTAGACTGTCCTCAGGCCTCCACAATCAACCTCTGAAGAAACTGCTTCATGCAAGGCAACCTGCCCATTATCATCAGCCTGGGAGGGACCAGATACATCTTGTAAACCCTGAAGCCAGCCTGTTTGCATCTGCAGAGTCAGTCACCTGAAGCAGCTGACTGTCAGCTCTGTGAAGGCTGCAGAGGCTGAGCCTCGTTCCTTTCTCTGTACCCGCCAGTGCCTACTGCATAGTAGGTGCTCAATAAACGTATCAGGATGGTGGGATTGAATGAATCAATAAATCAATGAGTTGATGAATGGAAACTTGAGTCCTTGTTACTTTTCAGCAGGACATTAATTGGGTGCCTACAATAGCCCACAATAGAAAGATAGTCTATCCCTGGCTGGTGTGGCTCAGTTGGTTGAGCATCATTCTGTGCACTCAAGAGTTGCGGGTTTGATTCCCGGTCAGGGCACATACCCAGGGGTTCAATCCCCATTTGGGCAGCCAATCAATGTTTGTCTCTCACGTCAATGTTTCTCTCTCTCTCTCTCTCTCTCTCTCTCTCTCTCCCTTCCTCTCTCTAAGATATATTTTTAAAAATATCCTTGAGTGAGGATCTAAAAATTTTTAAAAAAAAAGAAAGATAGTCTAGTATCTGGGTTCACATGGTAAACCCAGGAGCAGACAGCCTGGGTTCGAATCCCAGCTCTGCCAATTACTAGCCATGAGGCTTTGGGCAAGTTATATAACATCTCTGTGCCTCAGTTCCTTCACTTGGAAAATAAAAGTAGTGACAACAAAGCATACCTCAAGGGTTGCTATGAGAATAAATACTTAATACAGGTAAAGAAAAAATAAAAATAAATACTAATGAGTAATAATTAATACAGGTGAAGTGTGTGTATGACAAGGGCCTGGCATGGAGTGAGTTCAGTAAATGTTGGTCATTATTACTCGTGGTTGAATTACAGCATCAACATCATGTTCTATGCTATGTGCTAGGTATGGGGGAAACCAGAGGATTCCACCATCACCTTCCCTGCCTTTCAAGGTTTACAGTAGAGCAGAGAGATGGAACCCACACAGGAGGGAGTCAGAGCCATGGATTGCTGTCGTGTGTAGGGGAAGACTCCCCCAGGGGCTGGACCTGGTGAGGAAAGTTCCTGTGGAGACGGGGGACAGAGAGGGTCTGGGAGAGGCCGAGGCTGAAGGAGGAAGTATGTTGGGGTCACCAGGTTGTGGGCTGGAGCTGTCCACCTGGGTGCAGAGGGCCTTGCCAGTCAGGATGGGGGGGATTGTACATTGTGAAACGTTATCCCCATGTTTCAGTCTTCAGCCTTTCAGTTCTGCTCTACACCTGGAAGCCATGTTGGTAGAAAGTTTCCTTCCAACCCCATTTTCTGAAGCTGTGAGCATAAGCGATTGGTGGGGAGCTCCCGGAGGCCCCTCTCGGGGCCCAGAGAGAGGTCTAGGGGTCTCTGATGTTCCCAGGCTGATTCCCTGGGGGAATGAACGTGACCCTCTCCCTGTGATCTCCACCCTGGAGAACTCCACTGACCAGTAGAAAAAGTAGATGACAATCTATGCTTGACTCACACAAGAGGAACAACCTCGAACGAGGGTGAGTCCGGGTTTTATAAGAAGAAGGAGGCAGGGTCCACGGGGAATGTGCCTGCAGCATGTATACTCATGTCCCCATCACTCCTAAAGGGAGACTCACAATCCCAGAAATCACCAGCCATCCCTGTGTCTGCACAATCCCTCCTACCCCCACTCCCACCCACGGCCCTGCTTTTCTGCCTGGCCAACTCCTATTCATCCTGCATGAGTCTGAGTGTCCTCCTCTGGGAAGTCTTCCAGCCTACTCACGGCCAAGTGAGTGCTCCCCTCCAGGCTTTCATAGCACCCTGTCCTTCTCCCTCCCATCAGCCACTGAAACTTAACCCTCTACAATTGGTCCTTTTCCCCACGAGGTCAGGTAATAGGTCTCATTCATCTTTGAATTCCTGGTTCTTGGCCTCATGCCCGGCATCAATGAATGTTTGAGGAATGAATTGAGGAGCTGGGCCAGCACCACCCACAGAGTGAGGAATGAGGGCAGAGGCAGAGGCCAACACCAAGGCAGCTGAGCTACCCCAGACATCCCCAGCCCCACCAGTAGGCTCACCCTGGCTAGTGTCCAGGTCCAAGGTTCTGGCTCACTTCTAACTCATCTCAGGGCAGGACAAGGCATCCTTGCTCCCTACACATCCCCTCCTTTTCTCCCCATAAGGAGGGGCTGCCTCCCTGAGAGCATGCCCAGAGACAGGGCAGGAGGGGGGCCAGGGGCGGAGGGGGGCAACGAGGCCAGTTGGAAGACAGAGGGTTCAGAGAGGAGCCAGGGCACTTAGAGGACCAAATGTATAAAGTAACAAAGACAACCATATTCTTAGGAAGGAGGTTGGCTAAAAGATGGCCCTGGGGACCTAACGACTGGCTTCCTCATTATAGTGGAGGGGAATGTGGTTCAGGTCTCTTTCAGTTCGTCCTTCTCTCATATGGCAGTTCATCTTTTGCATAATCTGACACTAGGGCATGGGCCAAAGCAGAGTGCCACTTTCCAGATGGGAATACTGAGGCACTGTAAGCCTCTTGAGTACAGAGTTGTCTCATCCATTTCTAGCCCCACAATGTGCAAAGCACAATGCTGGGCACATGAGAGGAATGAGAGATGCGGAGTGAGAGACTGAGCTGTGTATTCATCTGGTCAATATTTATTGAACACCTACTAGATGCCTACCCCCTGCTAGGCATCCAGGATACAATGGTGAACAAGACAGGTGTCTGCCCTGTGGAGTGTAGACAGCCCATGCTCTAGAATGCGCTGAGCACTAGCTGAGCGTTAGGGATTAGCCACAGCTCCATTCATCTCCCACCACCTGCCCCTGCATATTAGGGAGCTGCCGCCCATTGGTGTGTCTTCAGGGAATGCAGGCTCCAGCCTAGGCTGAAGGTTGTTCAACAGCCCAAGTAAAATCAGCACCTTGCAGCTGTGTCTCTATCAACCCAGGCCTACACATCTTTAAGATGCATCAGAGGTCATGCCCATTCACCTGCTCAGGGACCACTCCCTGCAGGGCTCAGCCCCCTTCCTGCTGTCCCCAGGGCTGGGCAGCCCAAGGTCTCCAGGTGTTGTCGGTAGGGGCTGGGAGAGCAGGGGGCCCTGGCTGATCCTCAGGAGTGGTCAGCCCTGGTTGTGTTGGAGGATCAGGTGGATTCTTCATTCTCCCTCCACCTGTCCTCTGATGTGGAAAGAGGTGGGAGGAGAGGAGGAGTGGGAGAAGAGGAAGTAAGTTCCAGGTTAGACAGCCCATCCCTGGTCCCATGGGTTCATAGACCCCAGCACTGTGGACCTGCTACCGACCACACCCACAACCCTGACCAATCACAGTGGGTTCTGGCTGAAAGAGTGGGGCAGGGTCCTGGGGGTCCCGCATAGATGCCCTTTTAATCGCTGGGTTGTGCGGTGAATCAGGGCCCCAGGGGAGGGGCAGGAGCATCTGGGGCAGCAGCAGTCTAGACAAAGATGATGTACCCACTTGAACAGAAGTATTTTTGATCCTGACCTTAAATATTTTAATAGCCAGTATGACTGCGTCGGTACATTCCAGCCCTGCTACCAACCACAGTGCCCATATGATCACATCAAATCCAATTTAAAACCACATATTTTATTGATGTTCTTCATCAACAATACAGGGTCATGTATACAAGTGCTACTCAAGTCCCACAACTGGCAACTTCCCCACCGCTACGCCCCCCCCTCCCCCCACACACACTGTCCAATCTGCCAGGAGCCGACCTCCTGCAGGTCTCCCTTTGGCTTCCTCCCCCAATGTCCAGCCTCACAGCGCCGAGGCTCCGGGAGGCTGCAAATGGCTGGACTGGCTTCCAAGCTTGAGCTGGGTGTCAAGAGAGAACCAGGGCCTGGGTCACCCAGGCCTCTCCCCCTACCCTTCCATTCCCACCACCTAAGTATGGCCAGAACGAGGGTGAGGATGCCCCCCAATGACTTCTCCATCCAGCAGCTGGGGCTCTCCTTCAGCTCTCTCTGCCATATCTTTCCTCTCCAAGTGACCTGCCCTGCTGACCACCAAGATGGCAGAGTGACCATTTTTCTGGGGGTGGGAGTCAGTGCCTGGATGACAGCGACAAGTTGCCCTTGATGGCAGGAATCTCATGATCTTGGTCACTACTGTACATACTTGGCACTAAATAAATACATGTAGGATGCATGAATGAAGGGATATGGGAGGAAGTATAAGCGGATGGAGCCATTACTACATTAACCCTCTAGGGGGCATGAAGGCAGGACCAAGCTCCACCCAAGAACTCAGGGTGTTGTGTAGTAACAATTGGGGTTGCCATGGCCACCAACTGGGCACTGTAGGTGTGGGTTTCAGCCCCGCTGCCTGCATGGGTGGCAGACTGGCCTTGGGACCCAGTCAGGAGGGGGCACATGTGTTGTCCCCACTCCCTCATATGCCCCAGGGGTCTGGTCCTCTGGGTTCCAAAACACACAGCCATGCCCTTATTCAGAGCCAGTCAGATAACAGCGCTGGTCTGGCAATTGCACCCCTATATTCTGGTCTTCCCATTCCACAGCCTCAACTCTCCCAATCTTCCCCTTCCGAGTTGAGCATGACCTTCAAGCTCTGCTCTCCCCACCACTGTCCCCACCTGCCCCTGAACTGCTCCGTCTCCCTGTCCTCAAATGCCAACCGCCTTAACTAGCATCAGCGCCCAGGTCGATCTGTCTCTCCAGAGACTCTCTCCTCGGTGGCTGGGTGGGATCCTAGCATCAGCGCCCAGGTCGATCTGTCTCTCCAGAGACTCCTCGGTGGCTGGGTGGGATCCTTAAAGTTTGCATCATCATTTTAAGACTCCTCCGTGCCCATACCACCTCCATGAAAACAAATAACTCTCTACAGATCATCTGGACCTGGCGATCACAACGCGGACACCAGAATCCTGGGTGGGAGAGATGTTCCCTTCCCTAAGCCTGTGCAGGGATTCTTTCCCGGCCCACCTGCTAGATGACTGCCTAGTCCCTGCTGGAACACCTCCAGTTTGGGGCCCTCACTGCCTCCCCAGGAAGCCATCCTAACATCGAACAGCTTTAGCTGCCAGAATGTCCTTTATACGGGGAAGAAATGAACCCATTTCCTTCTCTCATTCTCATTCTTCAAATATCCCAGCACTCAGCCTCTGTGTCACCCTCTTCCTTCTCCCCTAAGTGCTCTCTCTCTCTCTCTCTCTCTCTCTCTCTCTCTCTCCCTATATGGTTATGTAGTCACATGCCTCTCATTTATAAGTATGTCCCCTTCCCTTCTCCCTTCTCCTTCCTTTCCCAGCATCTAGCCAAGGCTGGAAGAGTGCCAGGAAAAGAAAGCATCCAGCCAGGCCCTGGACTGGGCTGGGTGGCCAGCTGGAGTAGGTTGCACAGGGGATAGCAGCTGGAAAAGAAATCCCAGACCATTGGCTGCTGCATCCCAAAGAAAGGGCCTTGCAACTTGGGCGTGGGGTGGGCAGCAAGCTACTGAGTTCTTTTCCCCTCTCACTGCCCACAATTCCTCAGAGGGGACGAGGACACTCCCCCTCCTTTCCCAAGCTCCCTGGCAGTTGGCAGAGCAGACTTGGTAATTTTAAACACTTTGTAATTTTAAACAGTTTTGCCAGACTTCAGGTCCCAGGGAGCATCCTATCAGCAGCAAGAATTCAATCCCTACTCCCAACATGGGTCTTAGAGGACAAGACCCAGCAGATGGCAGTGACGACATGAGACATGGCAGAGGGAGTGGATCAAGTGGGCAGAGGGGCAAAGAGGGGCCCCAAGGAAAAGAAACAAACGCAGAGGCCTCTTGACACCCGCCTGGCTGCCCCCTGGAGAGTGTAACAATGCCTGGGTGGCCATTTTTTCCTCCTTGTCGTTGATCCACCAGCCAATGCTGTTCTCTGTGTCACAGACCAGGGGTGGGTGCTAGGACATTACCCATCCAGGTTGTAGTGGGTCATGGGTGGGGACAAGGGTGCCATGGTCTCGTGCTCAGGAGGAGTCAAGACACCGAGAGAAGTCATGGGTGTGCCTGCTACTTGTCCCGCTGCTTGGAGCTCTCACCTCCGACGTTGAACATGGGGACCAGCAGGCCCAGCAGCCACCGCTTCCCGAACACCTCCTGCAAGTTCTTGCGCCAGGGCCCGGCCCTCACCGCTACCCCCTTCCGCACCTGGTGGCGGGTCTGCCCCCGGAGGATCAACAGCAGCTGATGGCAGCAGAAGCCAGCGCAGGCCAGGCCAACGGCAAACCAGAGGTAGAGCATGAGGATGACGAACATTTCAGAACCGAGGACAGCTCCTGCAGGGGTGGGGGCGGGGAAACACCAGCATCGCTTTACACCCAGGCCACGTACGGACCTGCCATCACTGCAGGCGCTTTCCGCTCGGAAGGGAGGGAGATTAATGAGATTGAAGCGATATTTTATAGCCATCTCAGCGCCGCAGCGACGGAGAGGAAGGATAAACTAGTTGCCCTAACTTTTTCTTAGTGCTGACGGCCAGGGGAGAACTGGGGATGTCGGGGAGAAGGGAAGGAAGCGTCTCTGCGCGGCGCCTAGATACTAACATCCCTGAGTCGGAGATGCCCGTCTTTCTCTGCCTTCTCTTTCTGGTCTGGAAACAGGGAGAAGGGCTTTTTCTAGGAGGAGCGAGGGGTGAGCTGAGGATGCTAGAGAGGGAGCTGGCGCCTGGGCAGCTGTCTAGACTGAAGCACCTGCTCCCATGGAGCCGGAAGCATCAGCGGGAGGACTCGGGCAGGTGACAGCGTGACGGGGAGCAGGGCCTAGTCATCAAGAAGAATAAGTAACCAGCTCCCAGGGCAGCACAGAGCTCCAACTGAGAGAAGAAACCAGTCATTAGTGTTAACAAGAGGACAATGTGGCCACCAGAACACTCGGCCAGAGCTCTCCTGTCAGTGAGAGCTTGCTAAGCCTGGAAGACTAGTCCAGCCTCCTGCCTTGGGCGGGACCTTCTGTAAACCTCTCTAAGCAAGCCCTTTCTATTACTAGGTTTTAAATGTCAACTGAGTAAGAGATCCCACACTCTTCTTCAGAGTAGGGGTGGGCAGTCCACGCTAAGTTTGAATCTCCCAGCTCTGTGGTCTCGAACACGTTTCTTAACCTCTCTGAGTTGCAGTTTGCTCATCTGTAAAATGGTTCCATAGGTTTGCACGATCCAGGAAAATTGTGTGCAAAGTGGCCAGCTTTCTGATTCACACCCAGCACAGCGCTCCCTGCTGAGGAGACTTTACCCAAAAAGATCTCAACGTTAACTCCTTTTAGACCATCAAGCTTTCTCCTTCTTCCCAGGGCTTGCAGTCCTAGCTGGGCTGCAACTTTGGCAGCCATGGTAGAGACACCTACCTTGACCTGCCCAGCAGCCAGGGCAGTGAACCCAGGAGAGAACTTGAAAGCCCCCCTCAGCTGCTCTTCCTGCAGGACAACCCCACCACCACCTCCTCCAGTGAGATGAGGGTACCTGCTCCAGACACCACCTTACAACCTACTTGACCTCTGCAAATCGCAACCATATCCCTCCCTCCTCCAGCTTCCCCTGGCCCCGGTCTACCTCTTCCCTGGTCTCCCCAGGCTCCAGTTTCCAGACCCCTGAGGGCTGGGCTCTTACGACTTGTCCAGTCTCAGCAGTGATGGACTCGGCCACCAGGAGGATTTGGGTTTGCTCATTAGCAGCCTCCTCTTGCCCTCAGCCCCTGGGAGCTTGATAGCAGGTTTCTATTTGCGAAGTTGGTGACAATAAGTCCATCTGCCCAGGGGAGGGAGGGCTCGTTCCAGCTGGCATTTTGAGGAGCCCCTCAGCTGGCTGGGGCAGCAGCGGGACGGGGCTCACACTGGGCCAGCCCTCCCTCTGACCCACTTCTTCTTGTCAGCACAGGTTAGCTCAGGAAGCACATGGAGGATGAAGGATCCAGGGACCGGGGTTCCCGTTGGGCTCCGGGAATGCTGACAGGGAGAGATGACCCTCGAGCTGGGACCTGAGAACATCAGAGCTGTCAATGCGGGCCTGCCTTGCATCTCAGCCTCGGGGACAAGCCTGAGCTGATGGAAGCTGTTTTTCAGGGGCTTTATTTCTGGCACTAAATCAAGGCCTGCGGAAAAGACCCTGTGGCCTTCTCCTGGCCCCTTGTGGCAACTACAAAAGGTTCTTCTGGTGACCTGCTTTTTCTTGAAATGTTTGAAGTTGGCTAACCTGGCTGCCTCAGCTCTCTGAACTATCTAATAATAGTTCTGCTTCTTTTAGAAAAAATCAGAGTTTTTCTAAAGGCCTGAATGGTCACACCACCCAATCTCTCCCTCCCTGCTTCCCACCAAGCATTTATAACACCTTTGACAGATCATTGCCTGGCATCTTTAACATACATTCAGGGACAAGGGGCTCCCTTCCTCCCAAAGAGGCTCATTCATCAAGAAGCAGCTTCAGAGAGGCAGTGTGGTGTGGTGGAAGGAATATGAGCTCTGGAGGCTAGCAACCCTGAGTCCAAATCTTGGGTTGGAATCATAACTAGTTATGTGGCTTCGAAGCAACTTAACCTTGCTGACCTTTTTGTTCCTGAGCCTTTAAGATGGATATGATAATACCTATCTCACAGAATTGTGGTGAGGACTGAATGAAATGAGACCTGCACAGTGGGTAGCACATAATAGGTGCTCAACAAACATTAATCCCCTTTCCCTTTCACTGGACTTTCTGGAGGCATCCACCACGCTGGTGTACTTATACAAATGTCATGACACAGATCAAATGGCGTCATCTCCATTTCCTAGATGAGAAGGATGAGGCTCAGAGAGGTGACACAATTTACACTGATCCCATGAAGCCACAAGAAAAGACAACTTCTAAAATCCACCTGGCCAGCCTCCTACCTCTTGAGCATCAGCTAAAGACCCATGGGCAGCAGCCACCAGAAGACCTCTTCTACTTCTAGCTCACAGGGCCCACACTCCCAGCCATCTCATGCTCATGCAGATATAAGTCAGGGACAGTGCCACAGTTGAGGACAAGTACCACAACTGGAAAATAACTGCTCAATCAGACAACTTGGGCCTTCCAACTCCCTCCTGTCCTCCTGAGCAATGAGGTAGGTAGTGTCCTCAACCACTTGGGTTGAGAATAGGTGGAGAAGAGATAGAGAGGAGGGCACTGAAGAGTGTACTGGGGAAGGGGAGAAGGACGTGCAAGGGAAACGATGAAAGGTTGGCAAAGGAGGAAGATGAGATGGGAGAGTTTGAGATTACAGATCTTGGCCTTTCTTTTCCTAGTGGGTATGGTGAGGAGGTAAAAGATAATGGCACTCATCTTTCTGCTGGAATGGGATCTGGCCTCCAAGGTAGGCACTTACTGGTTCTGTTCTCCCACCAGAGCATATACATAGATCCCTCTTTTTTCCTTTCCTGCCTCCCAAACCTAGCACATATGGATAGGCCTCTAAGCCTGGCTTATCTCAAATCAAACCATTTCAAGATCCTCCCTTTGGAAACATCCATTTTTATGTGAGGAAACTACTTGCAAAAGAAAGTGTAATTAGGTTCTCTGGCTCCCCTCATCTCTCCACCTGCCTGTGCTCACACTCCACCCCCTAGCTCGCCCACCTACCCTCCCTCCTCCTGGTTATTTCAGTCCCAGCAGCCTCCTATGCCAGCGCCAGGTTCCAGAAGGCCTGAGAGCTCTGAGTTCCAGGCCTAGCTCAGCCACCAGCCCTCAAGGCATCTCCCCTATCTGGGTCCTTCCTGGGTCTCTGTGTTCCCTCTGCCAAATGGCACAACAGTTCTACGCCTGCAAAAGATTAGGCTGCTGCCCCAACAAAGGCTGAAATAATGGCTCCCCTCAGAGTGGAGCAAAATTTTTATGAATGTCCAGCCCAGGCACATCAAGACAATCTTGGCTTCTCAGTGGAAGCAGCTGCACTCCACCTTTCTTTGTCCCTGAAAGGTCAGTGGCTAAGGAAACATGCTGTGTTCCCTGTGCTGCTGTGGGAAAGCCATTTAATCCATTTGTGCCTCAGTTTGTTCATCTGAGAAATAGAGAAATCGATATCATACACACATACATGTGTGCACATTATCAATTGTAAAAACCAGGTCATTCAGAGTCAAAGGCCAGGGTAGGATGGAGAGGAAGAAAGTGAGGTAGGGACACGTTGCAAGGCCAGGTAAAGTGGTAAGAACTGCCACAGGTCCCTCTGGGCCAAGTACCAGGGAGCTGTTCGCAGGGCACACTATACACAGTCCTCACCAGGGTGTCCAGCTGAGCGCCACTTCCAAGGCCCACATGTCTGGCTCCTGCAGCTGTATGAGCCTCCAGCTGTATGAGACCGCCCGAGCCGCCCGGGGACGTCAGTTCCCACACCAGTCCCATGACTGTGGTGTGAGGATGCAACCATTAACGAAGAAAGTGAGGTAGGGACACGTTGCAAGGCCAGGTAAAGTGGTAAGAACTGCCACAGGTCCCTCTGGGCCAAGAACCAGGGAGCTGTTTGCAGGGCACACTATACACAGTCCTCACCAGGGTGCCCAGCTGAGCGCCACTTCCAAGGCCCACATGTCTGGCTTCTGCAGGTGTATGAGCCTCCTGGAGGATCAGTTCCCACACCAGTCCCATCACTGTGGTGTGAGGATGCAACCATTAAACATGGCTGCATCTCCAACCAGGTGCCCCCTGCTCTGAGGCATCTGCAGGCTGGGACCACCTGGTGGGGTCAAACATAATGGGCAGGAGGGCAGAACTTAGTCTCTTGCTGGGGATGGCTGGCACCCTGTTGATCTTACTGTGGCTGGTTGGCAAGATGTTTGGAAGGCAAAGTCCTTAGGGGAACGTGTGAGCAGCATTGGGGTCCAGGCAGAGGAAGGCCAAAACATGGGTGCCCCTCACAGGCTGCATGGAAGGAGGGCCAGCACCCAGCCCGCCTGGCACAGAGCAGGTGTATTGCCTGGATCACCACATCTCTACGAGCAAATGGACCATGGTGAGCAAAAAGATGATGAACGAGGTTGGGGTAGGGAGAGAGGTTGCCAGATAAAATACAGCATGCTCAGTTAAACTGAATTTCAGATAGGTAACAGTACATTTTTTTTTAGTATAAGTATGTCTCGTGCAATATTTAGGAGTTACTTATACACTTAAAAAGTTATGCATTGTTTATCCAGAATTATAATTTAATTGGGCATCTTGTGTGTGGGGGGGGGTATTTTTATTTATTTATTTATTTTTGCGAAATCTGGCAAACTTGGGGTTGGGGTTGGGGTGGGGGTGGGGTCTTTGTGTAGGGCCCAACCTGCCTGTCAAGACCCACTCACCAGAGAAGAACTGGCTGATGGAGGTGGGAAGGAGCGTGAGGAAGGCCAGTGGGTGCGCGAAGGAGATGGAAAGGACTGCGGAGATGTAGGCCACGCCCGCCACCATGGAGTAGAGGCAGGCCAGGGAGGTGTAGAGGCAGAACAGGACGAAGTTGCGCATGTTCCTGCTGCCAATGCAGTTGCCCGTGAAGAAACAGTGGTGGTCGTGCCTCAGGGTGACTCTGGCGCACACTCGGCAGAAGTGGGTGCTGGGCGGGGGGCACAGAGCCTTCCTGGCCGAGGCCCCCTGGCAGGCGTCCAGGTCGTCGGGCGAGTTCTGGATGACCAGGACGTAGTTGCCCAGGGCGTTGGTCGAGAGGAACAGGAAGAGGGCCCCGTGGAGCAGCGCCGGCGAGCAGAGCCGCGCGGCCGCCGGGTCCTCGCGCATGCTGGGCAGGAAGAGGAAGAGCTGGAGCGCGAAGGTCACCAGGGAGATGCACAGGAAATAGGCGGGGGCCACCACGTTGAGCAGCCTCAGGGCCAGCATCTTCGATTACATTCCTAAGGGGACCGGGGAGAGAGGAAAACTTACTGCGGTGTCCAGGGGGCGCCCTAGGGCGCTCCCCAGGCGTCCTCCGTCGGCCCAGCTTCACACCCGTCCATGCTCCCCATCCTTGTCCCTCGACCGCCCCTCCTCTCTTTCCTAACCCGGGTGGAGCAGGCGTGAGACCCCGAGTCCAACCGCCAAGGCCTCTGGGGGTCAGACTCTACTTCCCTGTGCTGGCTCCAAGGTTTCTGAGGGACTTCGGCGCCTTGGCACCCCGGAGTCAGACACAAGGAGAGCGAGGTTGGGGCTTGTTTGTAAGGAAAAGAGGGGCAAGGGGTTGGGCTCCGTTATGGCTGTGGAAAAGAGCCCAGGTTTGGGGTTTCTCCTTCAGACCTCCCAGGAGGAGAAGGCAGAGGATTGGGGTGGGGCCGAGGGAAATTATGGGAGTCCTGCATCACCTCCCCTTTCTCAGCCCCCGCCCCCACCCCATCTTGGGCAACACTCAGGGACCTCACAGGTCATCTGACTCTTTGGAAGTATGTGTGCTTGGGGGTCCGTGATATTTGGTGTGTGTGTGTGTGTGTGTGTGTGTGTGTAGGGAGGGTCTGTGTGTGACTCTGTACGTGTAATCTGTGTGTGCCTGGGTGTCTGTGTTTGTGTATATCTGTGTACACACACGCAGCCGCTGCCACCTGGCTTTTAAAAAATCGATTAAAACAATCGATCCATTCACACAGGCGCTGAGGCATCTAGTGGGGTGAGGCGGGGGCAGCCGGAATACCTGTGTCAGCCGGTCTTGGTCAGCCCACCTCTCCACGCTGGCAGCCCTGGCTATTTCTTTGCAAAAAGCGTTTTCATTTGAGGCGACGATATCCCCCCTTCCCGCCTGCCTCCCGCCCTCCTGGAGCGAGAAATCCAAACAACGCCGATGGCGCCGAAACCCTTTCGGTACCAACAAGCTCGCCCTGGGCGCAGGAGCGGATGCTTGGCCAGCCTTTCGGCTGATCGACCCCGACCGCCGAGCGCAGCCCCGCCGCATCCCCACTCCACCTCCCTCACCCCCAGCCCGGGTTCCTGCCCAGCTTCGGAGGCCACCGGTGCATGGAATTCTGGGCGCCCGAGAGAACTTTTCCAAGGGCTAAGGAGTCGGGAGCCCGAGGCGCGAGAAAAGTTCTGGGAAGGCAGCTGCACCCGGGATGGGCGAGTGCCAGGAGGCCACCATCCAGGCTGTCCCATCCCTTTGGGCGACTGATCACCTTGGAGTCCCCTCTGAAGGTGCCAGTGCCCCGGGGACCCGCGGCCGCACGGGGAGCGCGAGTCTCTCTCCCTCAGGGGTCCAGCGCCAGGCACCCC